ACTCTTGACTAGGCATGGAAATGGCAACCTCCTGGTGCATAGGTCAATGCCCAGCCATCTGAGTCCCACTGGCGAGGGCAGTACCAGGCTGTTTTTATTACAATGGCTTTGTAGTATAGTTTGATACCCAGTATTGTGATCCCTCCAACTTTGCTTCCCCCCCCCCCCCCCCCCCCCCCCCCCCCCCCCCCCCGAGATTACTAAGGCTAATCTTTATTGGTTCCATATAAATTTTTGGAATACTTGCTCTAGCTCTGTGGAATATGCCATTGGTATTTTAATAGGAATTGAATTAAATCTGTAGATTGTTTTGGGTAGTATAAATATTATAATGATAATTTTTTCCAATCCATGAACATGGTACATGATTCCATGTGTGTGTGCTTTCTTGTATTTCTTTCTTAAATGTCCTATAGTTTTCTGGGTACAGGTCTTTTACCTCAAGTTTATTTCTATATACCTTATTACTATTTTTGTTGCAATAGTAAATGGGAATTTTTTAAAAGTTTTTCTGAGAGTTCATAATTGGTGTATACAAATGCCACTGATTTTTGTATATTAGTTTTATATCCTGCTACTTTGTCAAATTCATTTATTACATCTCATAGGTTTTTTGTGGAGCTTTAGGGTTTTCTCTGTACAGTATCATGTAATCGGCATATTCTCTGCAGTATCTTTAAGTCTCACTTACATATATTATAATTACTGAGTTCTATTATAATTCAGCAAATACTTTTCGGCCACTTGTAGTGATCCTAACTTGTTAGTACTAGTGATGAAAAGTTGAATGAAAGAGAGCCCCAGTCCAAAAATGATTATGATACAATGTGGCAAGTATAATAATAAAGGGACAGTGGGATATCTAGGGCACCCAAGGACTATAGAATATCTTTTTCATATATCCCTTAATTCTTACTTTGGCTATTGCCAGTCTCATTTAGGCCTTCATTACTATGTAATTTTAGGACTGCTTAATAGCTTGCCCTGCCTTAACTGTGTTGTCATTCCAGTTCATAATTGAGGCTAGTCACCACAGTAGTTATCTAAAAAAAAGAAAAAAAAAAAAAAGGAAAAGAAAAGAAAAGCAAAAAGATACCTGTCTTTTTTTCTTCCGCTCTTACCGCTCACAGAATAAAATCAACAGTAGAATAAAATGTGGAATGCAGTCTTTAGCCTAGATTTCCTTTCTTGTCTTCTGCTATGTGAACCTTCCATTCCAGCAAAACTCTTCTACATTCTATTCTAAACACACTTCACACTTTCCCTTTTTTGCCTCGTTTGTTTGAGCCATTTTCCCTCCCTGGAATGGCCTCAGCAAATCTTGAGTGTTTCTATTCTTGGTTCCTTTACTTACTGAAATTGTATCTATCCGTGGATATAGTTCCTAATTGTTAAATCCATTGTGGACCTTTTATATGGTCATGTCCATGTTTTTAACACCCTCTCTTCCTTTATCTTCATGATATCACTTATTTCTCTTTTTTACTTACTAGAGGTCTGTTGCATGAAACTCATGCACGGAGGGGGGATCCCCACCACCCAGCCTGCACCCTCTCCAACCCGGGACACCTTTGGGATGTCTGAATGCCAGTTTAGGCCCAATCCTAGCCTAAACCAGCAGTTGGACATCCCTCTCACAATCCGGGACCATTGGCTCCTAACTACTCACCTGCCTGCCTGCCTGATCACTCCTAACTGCCCCCCCCCCCCCCCCCCCCCCCGCCAGCCTGGTCACCCCCAACTTCCCCCCTGCCAACCTAGACACCCTTTACTATCCCCTCTCCCAGCCTGGTAGCCTCCCAACTGTCTCTGCCAACCCCCCCCTCCCCCCACCAGCCTGGTTGCCCCCAAATGCCCCCTTGAAAACCTGGTCATCCCTTACTGTCCCTCCTCCCGCCTGGCTGCCCCCAACTGCCCCTCCCCCCCACCCCCGCCAGCCTGGTCACTCCATGCAGGCTGCTGTTCAGTCATTTGGTCGTCCCTCACTAACCTCCCTGCTGGCCTGGTTGCCCCACGCAGCCTGCTGTATGGTTGTTACTGTTACTGTGACAGCGTCATGACCAATTTGCATATTCCTCTATTATTACAATAGACTAGAAGCCCGGTGCACAAAATTCATGGACGGGGTTGGGAGTGTCCCTCAGCCCAGCCTACTACACCCTATCCAATCTGAGACCCCTCGAGGGATATTAAACTGCCCGTTAAACTGGCAGTTTGACATCTCTCTCACAATCCAAGACTGCTGGCTCTCAACTGCTCACTTGCCTGCCTTCCTGATTGCCCTTAACCACTTCTGCCTGCCAGCCTGATAGCCCCCTAACCACTCCCATGCCAGCCTGATTGATGCCTAACTGCTCCCCTGCCAGCCTGTTTGCTCCCAGCTTCCCTCCTCTGCCAGCCTGGTCACCCTAACTGCCCTCCCCTACAGGGTTGATTGCCTCCAACTGCCCTCCCTTGCAGGCCTGGTGCCTCCCAACTCCCCTCCCCTGCTGGCCATCTTGTGGTAGCCATCTTGGGTCCACATAGGGGCAGGATCTTCGACCACATGATGGCAGCCATCTTGTGTGTTGGAGTGATGGTCAATCTGCATATTACTCTTTTATTAGATAGGATAGAGACCTGGTGCATGGGTGGGGCCAGCTGGTTTGCCCTGAAGGGTGTCCCAGATCATTGTGGAATTCCCTTAGGGCATGGGGCAGCCTGGACGAGGGGCCTGTGGTGGTTTGCAGGCCGGCCATGCCCCCTGGTGACCCAAGCAGAGGCCCTGGTATCTGGGGTTTATTTATCTTCTACAATGGAAACTTTGTAGCCTGGAGCAGAGCCAAGCCTCCTGCTTGCTCCATGGCTGCAGCCATTTCTGTTTGGATTTGTTTACCTTCTATAATTGAAACTTTGTAGCCTGGAGTGGAGGCTTAGCCCAACCAGGACAGGTGGAAAGCTTGGCTACCTCTGTTGCGGGGGGGAAACCCTAGCCTGCTCTCTCCAGCTACGTGGCTGCCGCCATTTTTCTTGGGATTTATCTTCTATAATTGAAACTTTGTATCCCTTTTTGGAGGCCTAGGTTGGCCAGGGCATGTGGAAAGCTTGGCTTCCTCTATTGCTGGGGAAACCCAAACCTCTCAACTGCCCTCTGTGGCTGTAGCCATCTTGTTTGGGGTTAATTTGCTTACTAGCTCAGATTGGCTGGTGGCCCTGGCTTGAGCGGAGTGATGGTTAATTTGCATATTACTCTTTTATTAGGTAGGATTTTTTCTCACCTGTCTTTACTGACTCCTATCCCTAATGTTTATGCTTCCTGAAGTTTCAGGCTGACTTCTGTTTTTTTCTTAATTCTGCCATGCTTTCTTGAACACATGTTTTTCATGATATCCTTTCTGTGTTCATTTCCTCAGCCCATTTTTCTGGTGAGCACTTCTAGTCTTTAGGTTGCTACTTAGAATGCCCATCTGAATGTCTAGTAGAAAATCTGTGTTAAGCCTGTGTGGCTCAGTGGTTGAGCATTGACCCATGAATTCAATTCCCAGTCAGAGCACATTCTTGGGTTGCGGGCTTGGTCCGCAGTAGGGGATGTGCAAGAAGCAGCTGATAAATGATCATCATCATTGATATTTCTATCTCTCTTTCCCTCTCCCTTCCTCTCTGAAATCAATTCAAATATACAATATATAAAGAAAACCCTTCCTCTTAAAATCAATTAAAATATGTATGAAGAAAACTTGAAAATCAGAACATCGAAAATTAAGTACATGTTTTTTTCCATTCACCCAATTTTTCCATTTTGATTAGCGATGCTGCCAGTAACTCACCCAAATTATAAACCCAGGAATCAACTTGACTTCTGTCTCCTATCCCTCATTTTCCATTAGTTGGCAAGTCCTGCTGATGGAGCTGTTTTCTCTCTGCCCCTTCACTATTTCTTACTAGCCAGGCTCTAACATCCTGAGTAGAGCATTGTAAAGAACCTCTTCTGCTTGGTCCTGGACATTGCAAACAAGTTTTGACATGCTTGTATGTTGGTTATATTATGTAGGAATGCCAAAGGCAAAGTAGTTTTGGGTGCCACACCACTAATCCTTGTATATCCATTAAAGGTCAATTTCCTAAACATTTTTATTTGATGACATTATTAGGAAATATTTTAGGCTTTTTATAATAAATTTGCATAAGGATTAAGAGTATGATTTATAACAATTACAAGGGAAAAGCAAGAAAAGATATATAGAAATAGAAGTCTGAGTGGGTTAAGAGCCAGAAATGATTTTATAGGACATTTTCTTAATGAGCTAAAAAAATGATTAAAAGTTTTAAGTAATACCTGGTGCTTGGTAGTCAAATATCAGTTAGGAGCAGTTAACTATAGGAAGATCTTGATACTGAGTAGGTTGAAATAAGGTCTTTGCTATTGGGAATTGTAAGCTAATCTATTTGAGTAATACTTTGAACAGATGCTATTTAGCTATCAGTTAATACCCAACAGAGACTCCTGATATCATTATTTATGCCCCTCTCTGGAAGATATTGGCCTCATGTACTAATGCTACAGATGTGGTAACATAATCACTGTGCCTCTACATTATCTAATGTGTTTCATAGCCATGTTTAGCATAGAAACCAGATATAATCATAGAAATGCTTAGTTTCTCGATTTTTTTTTCAAGCAGACTTCAGAATTTGTCTTGCTTGTAATATTTTTAAAAGTCCAAACTTATAGAAGAAAGTACTTTAAAATTTGAGTCCTTTATATTCTAAATAATTAGTATGTTTAAAAATAATTTTATTTATTGTGAATATTTTGCAAAGTATTATGAGTATTTACATTAGCTTTTGCTATAGTGTTGGCCTTTATTTACTTTCTGAAGATCTTAGGTTTTATGAGGGTGGCACTGGATTCTTACCTAGTGTAACTTACTGTAGAAGATCTATTGGAACATTCTGTATAGTAGTATTTTGTAGTTGAGAGTGGAGTGTGTGTGTCATTTTGGCTTATATTGTTCACCTAGGAACTCCACTCTGAAGGAGGGGAGAAAGAAAGAACAAGTTTCAGAGAGTTACCAAGGTGGACCAAGGTAGGGGAGTGGCATTTTGAGCCAAGGGAGTAGTGTGTTCCCTGTAAGAAGTCCTGAAAGATTGTGGTGTAATACTGACCCTTGGGTGGTTTGGTGTGAATGGAAGGCAGAGTTGGATAGTGGTGGGAGAGAGCAGCTGCCAAGTTTCCTTTAAAGCATTCCCATCCCCCTTTCAGATTGCCTTTTGTTTGTTTATTTTATTGATTTTAGAGAGAGGAAGGAAGAGAAACATTGATATGAGAAACATTAATCGGTTGCCTCCCGAAACCTGGGTATGTGCCTTGACTAGAAATTGAACCCACCACCTTTTGGTATACTGGACAATGCGTCAACAAACTGAGCTGCAATGGCCAGGATTACAGACTGCCTTTTAAAGAGCAGAGAATCTATCATGAGAGAATTTTTAAAACTTTATTTGTATTGATTTCAGAGAAGAAGGGAGAGGGAGAGAATCATTGATCAGCTGCCTCCTGCATTCCTGCTCCTGGGGATTGAGCCCACAATTCAGACATGTGCACTCCTGGTTCATAGGTCAGTGCTCAACCACTGAGCAACACTGGCCTGGCAATCCTGAGAGATCTTGTTAGAATTTTGTATTTAAAAAATCATGGATTCTTCAAATTGGATTCTCACTGTACTCCTTATCTGTCTTTCCTCCAATCTTTTCATCTCAGAAATGGTAGTATGATTTGATTAGCTATCCAGGCCAAAAACCTGAGAGTCATTCTTGATTTCTATCCTTCCTTTTTCTCTCATCTCTTGCATTTTATTCTTCACCAAGTGCTATAGCTCCTATCTCCCCCACACATCTTGAACTCTATTCCTTTCTATCCATCTACTTCATCCTACTTAGTCCATCATCATTTTTCTTAGGCAAGACTCTTTCCTATTTAGCTTCTTAACTGATTTCCTTGCCTCCATGTTTTTTCCCTTTTGACTTATTTTCCATTAACAGTGACAATGATCTTTTAGAAGTGAAAGTCAGATCATGTCACTCTCCTGGTATATCTTTAGTGGGTTTTCATTGCGCCAAAGTGCTCCTTTCATAGCTAGCTCCTCCTCTTTTAGGCCGCAGATGAAATGTGCCCCTCTGAGATGCCTTCCTTAACGCCCAGTACTGTTCTCTCTTATAGCATTTCATTGTTTCCTTCACAGGTCTTATGATTTGTAATTACATTTTCACTTGTGTTTTTTTCCCCCCCCCTTTTGTTTTTTCCCTTCCTCCCATTTTTTCCCCTCCTCCCCCCCTTTCTATACTAGACTTTAATTGCAAAAGCCATAGGGACCATGCCTGTCTTGTCAACTTTTTTATACCTAGCACCTAGCACATCGCTAGGATCATAGCAGGTGAATAATAAATATTTGAACACACCAATAAAATGGAACTTGAGAGATTACCTAATCCTACTGTCCACCCAGTGTAAGAGTCTTCGCCAGCTCTGGCAAGTGATTGTCAGCTTGATTTTGAATGCTTTCAGAGATGGGCAGCTTAGTGTTTTATGTGGTTGCCCGTGACCTCGTTTAGTGATTCTGATAGTTTGAAATATTTTTTATTTAGGGCTTAAAACTGCTTTTCTTTTTTTCCCCCAACTGTTGATTCCCAGTTCTGCCCCTCTCTGACACCCTTTAAACTGTTTACAGCAACAATCATATGCTCTCTTAGTTTTGTAAAAGCTTTACTTTTCATCGTGTGACATAGTTCTTCACCCTTACCCCTGTGTGTATATACATTTTGTCAGGGTAACTTTAAAAGGCTATATTGAAGGATAAAGATGTTTATAATCTTTGGTCCTATAATTCATGGTTAAATAATTTGTAGCATATTAGTTCAATATAATACATTGTAGCCATTAGCAATAAATGTAATGATAGAAATGTGGGCAATCTTTATAAAATGATATTTAAAAAATATAATATTAAATTTTATCTAGATTATTATTATAGCTGAGTGGGTTGGGTATGTAGATGTGATTTAGAGGGGTATAAAAAGTAATGAGAAAGTTGTGTTAGGGTGGTACAAGATGATTTCAAATAAAGAGCATTTTATAGTTAGTTTAATAAAAATGGAGAAAATGTAATACTCAGAACTATTAATGTCATTCCAACTAGAAGTATGTGAAACTTCAATAGCCTGTAGTAACTTTTTGTTTTGATACTGAAACTGAAATACAAATAGTATATCAAATTATTGCATTAGTGTAAAATTTAGTCAAGTCTATAATTGTATAGTGGTTACATTAAATAAATTATTATTCTTAAGAAATACATATGGAAATATATATTTTTATATTTTATGCAAGAGAGCAAATAATAACCAAATAGCATAAAATATTAACACCAAGTAAATCTGGATAAAGACTATCCAGATACTCTTTGTCCTCTTCTTACTCTTGCAACTTTTATTATATCGTTTCATTTAAAAGTTTCTTATAAGAAGTTACTTTTATCTGATTTATCTATTTTTCAAGGCTTATCCGTCTTTCTGAGGGCACATTTTGTGATTCATAAAATGGAATGAAAATAAACAAGTGACCTTTTTTCTAGAAATAATAACAAGATTTGAAAAGACAGGAAAGAGGTTAAATTCTTTGTTTTTTTGTTTGTGTATATGGGTTTCCCAAACTTTTGACATACGTGTACCCCTTCTATAATTTTCGTAATGCTGAGTACCCCTCGTACTCATGAGAACATAGAATTAGGCGCAGCTAAGCACAGTGCAGTGCATATCCCCACCAAACTCTGGTGCAATGTGTACCCCCACCAAACTCTTCCCGTACCCCTGGGGGTACGCGTACCACACTTTGGGAAACACTGGATAAGACTGCGTTGTCCATTATGATAGCCTCTAGCCACATGTAACTATTTAAATTAGTTAGAATTAAATAAAAATAAAAATTCAGTTCCTTGGTCTCCCTTACCATATGTACTCTGTGGCTAGTAACTACTTTATTGGACAGGAAAGATATAGAATATTTCCTTTACCAGAAAGTTCTGTGAATAGTGCTGAACAGTACTATTGTAGAATAAGTAATTGTTTGGGATGGGATTATTCATGAGACAAAATAGTGACTTGTGTGCAGTCACTCCTTTTAAAGCTAAAGAGGTTAATCTTTGAAGGTTGGGTGATGAAGAGGAGTTGTGTGAATAGAGCACCAAGAAATGCAACTCCTTGTACTGGCCAACATTTACCAGTTATGGAAAAAGCACTGGGGAAGGGGGAGGAATGAGGAGAGCCGTACTCTGGATGAGTGGCAGCTAGTGTGCAAGGTTTTTGTATGTACTATATGCAAAAGTTTATTGGTAAGGTTTTTATATTTTATACCTATGCAGGAAAAATTTCTTAGACATTACATAAAATGTTTTATTCCTACATATTATAATTTTACAATGCTGAGAACATTTAACATGCTGCACACACATTTATACATATAACTGAAAGTACTATGTGGTGTTTTTTTTTTTTAAAGTAATATGTTATTAAACATCCTCACTATGCATGATGCCTTCTGATATTTTCTGTTTTATTCCGTGCTTGTTGTATGTGTAGAAAGGATTTGATTCATTAAGTTTTAAGATATTACTATGATCTAATTTGAACATATACATCGATTGTGTGAAATGTTGCCAAACTAATTTAAAAAATCCAACTGAACATTATAAAAACTGCTGAAGCCTATAAACATCTTAGGTTATATATTAGTTTTCCTTATGTGAGCCACTTATAAAAGTAAAAATCCAACTAATAAAAGAGTACTATGCAAATTAACTATCACTCCACCACACCCACCAGCCAGTCAGGAACAAATATGGAAATAAACCCAACCAAGATGGTTTCGGCCACAGAGAGCAAGAGGGAGGCTTGGGTTTCCCCAGCAATGGAGGAAGCCAAGCTTTCTGCCTGCCCTTGCTGGCCTAGGCCTCCACTCAAGGCTAAAAAGTTTCAATGATAGAAGATACATAAACCCAAACAGAAATGGCTGCCACGAGCAAGCAGAAGGTTTGGCTCCGCTCCAGACTACAAAGTTTCAATTGTAGAAGATAAATAAACTTCAGATACCAGGGCCTCCTCTTGGGTCACCAGGGGGCGTGGCCGGTCTGCAAGCCACCACAGGCCCCTTGCCCAGGCCATCCCACGCCCCAAGGGAACCCTCACCCTGATCCAGGACACCTTTCAGGGCAAACCAGCTGGCCCCCACCCATGCACCAGACCTCTAGCCTATTTAATAAAAGGGTAATATGCAGATTGACCATCACTCCAATATACAAGATGTTTGCCCCCATGTGGATACAAGATGGTTGCCACAAGATGGCCAGCAAGTGAGGGCAGTTGGGGTGATCAAGCCTGCAGTGGAGGGCAGTTAGGGGTGACCACGCCAGCAGAGGAGGGAAGTTGGGGGTGACCAAACCTGCAGGGAAGGACAGTTGGGAGGGACCCAGGCCTGCAGGGGAGAGCAGTTAGGGGAGATCAGGCCTGCAAGGAAGGGCAGTTAGGGGTGACCAGGCCTGCAGGGAAGGGCAGTTGGGGGTGACCAGGCTGGCAGGAGAGCAGTTAGGCATCAATCAGGCTGGCATGGGAGTGGTTAGGGGGTCATCAGGCTGGCAGGCAGAAGCAGTTAGGGGCAATCAGGAACGCAGGCAAGTGAGCAGTTGGGAGCCAGCAGTCCTGGATTGTGAGAGGGATGTCCGACTCTTGTTTATACCTGATCCCACAGGGATCATCTCTTGAGGGGTCCCAGATGGGAGAGGGTGCAGGCTGGGCTGAGGGACACACACACCCCCCCTGCACGAATTTTGTATATTGGGCCTATATATATTGATATGAAAGCTCAGTGACTGGAATGGGGGAACGACCAGATGACTGGAACAACCAGTTGCTATGACACACACTGTGGCAGCCAACCAGCCTGATCCAGGCCCTGATTGGCCTCCAACAACCTGATTGGGGACAGGGCCAGCTGCCAACTACCTGCAGACCCTCCCCTGGCCTGTCTGGTCCCCGA